GCTTTAGCTATGAAAGCCAGCTGGATGACTTTGGGCCAATCACCAGGAGAGGGTGAGTTCTAGTTCCACCTTAGCCATGAAAGATGGCTGGGTGACGGCACCAATCACCAGGACACGGTTGCTTTTAGTCCTGCCTTAGACATGAAAACCAGCTGGGTGACTTTGGGCCAATCACCAGGAGATGGTGAGTTCTAGTTCTGCCTCAGGCATAAAAGCTGGCTGGATGACTTTGAGCCTGTCACTCTCTTTCAGCTCAACCCACCTCACAAAATTATGGGGAAACAGGAAGGTGTACTGGCTAGGTTTACCGTCTTGAGTTATTTCTAAAAACTATAAAGGCAGAAAATGAACAAAGAGTTGCCGAGTGCCCAAAATTTGGTCAGGGGACTGCAGTATATTTGTGTGTCCCTGTCTGCTATAACTTTGAATGGTCACTGCTATGTCTCACCTGTATCCACAGTTGAGCAATCACAATACTAAAGTTCCAAAATTATAAGCAACCAAAAACAAACCCCAACAAAGATAACGGCTGCGGTTTTTCCAGTCCTCAGCAGTAGTTCTGAAATCTGTTTGGCAATCCTGAAGTGCCTATAAATCACAATGCCTCAGATAATCTTCACAGTACTTTCGCTCTAACAAGACACTTTGCTTCTGGCAAATTTCTCAAGCCAATCCGTTTCCTTTTATCCCCTAAGGGGGCGTGTTAGTCTCATTAATTAATCATTGGCTCGACGCCTCTTTCCCAATTGAGATTGACGTCTCACATCAAGCCAGGATCCCTCAAAGTCCTCCTCCTCGCCTGAAACCTCTCGCACTTTTTCCTGATTATCTGCCACCGGCTGCTGCGTAATCAGAGTGGGCAAATTGGTAAGGGTCCAGGTGTAGTTGGGAGGCAAGTTTTGAGACATGCCAAGACTAGCCGCTCGAAGCATTTCACGATTGTAGGTGTAAGTGCTATATAGGGCGGTAGTCATTCAGACACTCTGGCTTGGAGTGTTTGGGCACCAGCACGACGGAAGTGGCCTTGAAGCAAGTTGGTACAGTTGCTTGGGAAAGAGACAGGTTGAAAATATCAGTCAAAGCCACAGACAACTATTCAGCGCAAGCCCCTAAGTCAGTGATGGCTAACCTTTTCAGCTTGGTGTGTCGAAAATTGGGAAAAAGTGTAGCCTTCCTCAGGTCGTGTGTCACTTCAAGAAATATCAATAATTTGGTTTACGACGGACTAGGCTGGGGGTGATCACACAGGGCTGTGAAACTCGTCTCCCTGGTCTCAGGGCTGCAGGTGCAGGATGTGGGGATCGGAAGGCCACCTTACAGGGCTGTGAACCTCATGGATCTCCTTTCCTCCCGTAGCGTTCCTGAGGTAATGAAACTGACAAACCTCAGTTTATGGCGGTTAAAACTGGTTCTCTGCTGCAAAGATCTCGCGGCAGCATTGGTGACACCACGCCTCCACGCCACAAGCAGGGAGCAGGGATTGGAGCAGAGCACAGGCAGCCTCTAAATGTGCAGGTTTTCCCCACACCAACAGGCGTGTCAGTCAAAGTGCCTCGGCGTGTCACGAGTGACACGCGTGTCATAGGTTAGCCATCACTGCCCTAAGTGCACGTCCTGAAATGCCATCGGGGCCCGCAGCTTTACGTGTGTTGATCCGGCTCAGAACAGCACAGACTTCAGTGGTAGAGAGCGTGAGGGGCTGTAAGTTTACAGAGAGTTTGATCTTGGCGACTATCTCCTGGTTGTCTCATTCAAAGTGAGCATGAAAATCATTTAGCTCATCAAGAAACGAGACATTAGCAAATGAGGGAGTAAAACGGGCAGGCTTGTAGTCGGTAATATTCCGGATGCCCTGCCACATGCGCCGAGGATTGCAGTTAGCAAAGTGATCCCCAATACTTAGCTTATAGCTACGCATTGCTTTCTTAATACACCTTCTCAAATTGGCCCTAGATGCACTATAGGCCTGTCTGTCACCGGGTCTGAAGGCAACGTCTCGAGCCTTAAGCAAGAGACGGACCTCCCTATTCATCCACGGCTTCTGATTAGGATATATGATGATCTGTTTTTCAGTTGTGACACATCGTGAAGTTAATATGATCCAAAATGCGGGAGGTATATTTATCAATGTCCATGTGAGAGTCAGAGGTAGCTTGAGAGGCAAACATACTTCAGTCCATATGCTGAAATCGATCCTGCAGTATATTATCTGATTCTTCCGGGCGTGGAGGTGGTGGAGCTGCCCTATTACTTACTTTTGGACAGTTGTAGGCAGGCCTGGCACACCCCGATATCTGCCTTGCCGGCCCTTTTCTTCTGCAGTCGGCAAGGCTGGCAGGGCTTTCCTGAAGGCCTCTGGAGCTGATAACAAAGCTCTGGATCGATCCAGAGCTCTCTTATTGGCTACAGAAGAAGAAGAAGTTCCTGAAGGCCTCTGACCGCGAAAAGGAGGCCAGGGGTGACGCACGCAAGTGAGGTTAGTCAGTGGATGACATTCCCCCGAAAATAAGACCTGGTGCCTTCAAACAACCCAGCAAAGAAATCCAGTTCTCCCAAGTGCCAAGTTCCGGGCTCTCCCAGTCTATTTAGGAAAAGGTAGAATAAAAATTTCCTTTTGAGGCAAAGGATTGGTTACATCACCTTCATGGGGTTATTCAGCTCTTCGTCTTCTCTTTCCTTCTGCAGGCGTTTTTCCTCTTCCTCCAGCAATTTCTCAGCCTGGAAGTTTCGGGTGGCTCCGTGCTCCATGGCATAATCTGTGTTTTCGGGGTCGGTCTGAAGAGAGAATAAGAAAAAAGAGTGAAGAGGTTTAATTCTCAGATCTGTAACTGGGAGGGCTGAACCAAGGAAGATCTGGTGCTCTAATGAACTGGTTGCAGTCCAAGTTTGCACCTGATAGCGACAAACATCCTGCAAAGATATTCCGGTGTGCTCTGCACAGAATAGCAGGCAGCTACCCTGAACCTTGGAGAGAACGCTGGGTTACAGGTAGTCCTCAACTAGGCTGCACGAATAAAGGGATAGAATCAAGATCACGTCAGTGGTTCTACTGTGTTTTCCCCAAAATAAGACCTATCCCCTCTGGTGGTGAAACGGAAGCCCAGGGGGCACCACGCACATCAATACAGAGCTCATTTCTCGGCTGCAGAGGCTTTTCCTGAAAGTGAGTGGCAAGCAGCCGCAGAAACGGGCTGGCAGAGGCTTCCTGCTGAGCAGGGCTGTTGGTGCCGCTGTGGCGAGGTGAGTGAGTGGAAGACATTCCCTGAAAATAAAACCTGGCCTTTTTTGGTGGCAAAAATATATATATAAGACTGGTGTCAGCTCGTAAAGCATTCCTGGCTGGCTCTCGAGTTGCCATAGGCAGGAGGGGGAAGAACTGATGGAGCAGCTTGGTTGCCATGACCAGCATAGCTTTCTCCAGATTGTATCCCAGGTTACTAGAGCCAGCTGAAGAGGCGTGTTTTCTACAGCCCGGGAAAGTGCTCCGTTGGAGAATGTGATTGATGACACACCCTGGGAGGAAACAGGGTCATAGGTGGGCAGTAAATTACGTGGGGCAGAGCAGACCGCACATGGCAACTTGCCGAAATGTGGCTCCTAATAAATAATTGGATTTCTTTTGAAACTTGGCTCGAGGCTCATGAATTAGGGCATCCGTCGGAACCCTGACAACTGGGTCTTATTTTCGGAAAAACACAGTAGTACCACATTACAAAGGCTTAGGAAGATTATACTTGGAATATGGCATCCAGTTCTGGTCATCACAATGTAAAAAAGTGTTGTAATGACGAGGCAGTCAAATTGCTTGATCATGATCAACTGAATCATGATGAACTTTATTGGAGTCTAGTCTTGCATTTATACACATTTTTAGTAATCCTCCAACATCGGTTAACTTTGGTTATTGCTTAACTTTTGCTACTGTTTATCATAGTAATTAACACAATTAATTATCTCTAGTTAAAGTCTAACATATGTTTACTTCCTCTCTCTAATCCTCCTTTAGATTCGTGACTTTGTTTGCCTGAGTTGTAATTGCTTGTAAACATTCCTTATCTGAGGTGTGCCATCCAAGATAAGAACATTCCTGCAATTACAACCCTACAAAAAAGATGTTGAGACTTAGAAAAGCATGCAGAAAAGAGCAACAAATCAGGGGACTGGAAGCTAAAACTTACGAAAAACGGTCGCAGGGATTGGGTTTGTCTAGTCCAATGAAAAGAAGGACTGGGGGAAGACACGACAGCAGTATTCCAATATCTGAGGGGCTGCTACAAAGACGAGAGGATCAAACTATTCTCCAAAGCCCCAAACGGCATGATGAGAAACAATGGAATAGGATAGAATAACAGAGTTGGAAGGGACCTTGGAGGTCTTCTAGTCCAGCCCCCTGCTTAGGCAGGAAACCCCACCCCACTTCAAACAAATGGTTATTCAGTCTCTTCTTAAAAACTTCCAGTGTTGGAGCATTTTACAACTTCTGGAGGCAGGTAGTTCCACTGATTAATTGTTCTAACTGTCAGAAAATTCCGCCTCAGTTCTAGGTTGCTTCTCTCCTTGATCAGTTTCCACCCTTTGCTGGATGGAAACTCATCCAGGAGAGAAGCAACCTGGAATGGAAGGAGAATTTTCCTAACGGTGAGGAGAATGAACCCTGTGGAACCGCTTGCCTCCAGAAGCTGTGCGTGCTCCATCACTGGAGGCTTTCAAAAAGATGCTGGACAATAATTTTATCTGATATGGTATACAGCCGTGATGGCGAACCTAGGCATACGTGCCACAGGTGGCACGCGGAGCCAATTTGTGCCGGCACGTGAGTTGCAGGCAAACTTACCTCACTGCGCATGCGTGCGCCTCCCAGCTGATTTTGGGCCTGTTTGAGGCCTCCCAAAGGCTTGAGGAAGGCTTCTGGCAGCCTGAAAAATAGGCCCTTTTCATCACTTCCTGTATTTCCGGAAATACCGGAAGTGACAACACGGGCCTATTTTTCAGGCTGCAGAGGCTTTCCTCAAAGTCTGGGAGGCCGAAAAAAGGCCTCAAACGGGCCAAAAATGAGCTGGGAGGCGCAGGGCAGGTCAGGGGGCGGGGGGATTGCGTGCGCACGTGCAGGGGGCATGCGCGCATTGCCTTCTGGGTGGTAGCAAGGAAGCGCGCACACAATTTTTAGCACAGGAGCCCCAAAAGGGTTAGCCACCACTGGTATACAGGGTCTTCGGCTCATGCAGGGGGGGTGGATTAGAAGACCTCCAAGGTCCCTTCCAACTCTTATTATTCTAAATCAGGGGGTTTCAATCTCATAGCCCACAATGTGGTTGGATTCCGGCCCACGAGGCCATCCTGGAAAAATGTTAAGGGACTGGCCCGCATCCCTTCGGCCCGTTCTACCCAATGCGAAGAGGAAACCTCGGGCCAGCCTGGGTTTGGCCCGGTCTACCCAGTGTGAAGAAGAAAACATAGCAGCAGTTTGGGGAGTGGCCACGCCCACTCATTCGGCCACACCCACCTGGTCCCCCGAGGTCAACCACAGCCCTGATGCGGCCCTCCATGAAATTGAGTTTGACACCCCTGTGCTACGTTCTAAGTTTGGAAGAGGAGAGAGACCTGAAGAGGTTTTACCTTGAAGGTGATTTCCGCCAGGCAGCGGGTGCATTTGATGTAAAACCGGAAGATGGGAAGTCCCAAATAAGATTCATTCTGGACCGTCTCTTTCCGGGCATTAAATTTTTTGCCCTTGTAAATGTACTCGCCGCAAGTCTTGCACCTGAAAGATGGAAAAACTGCTGGTGACCTTCTACCACTGCACCATAGAGTATCGTAACTCACTGCACCTCTGTATGGTTTTGCCAGTTGCACAGAGGCAGATAGGAAAGCACTCCAGCGGGTGAACGTCATTGCCCAGAAGATCATGGGTTGCCCTCTCCCTTCTTTGGAAGAGCTTTATAGCTCCTGCTGCCTTAAGAAAGTTCAAAACATTCTCAAAGATCCATCTCATCCCGGGAACCCCCTTTTTTTGAACTATTACCATCTGGCAGACAGTACCGGATAATAAAAACAAGGACAAATAGGCTGAAAAACAGCTTCTATCCCAGGGCAGCAGCTCTGTTGAATTCTACTGTATATAGTGCAATATTAATGCAATCTCAGGGGAGGTTTCAGTTCCATTGTATAGAATGTGAAGGATGTGGGTTTGTGTTTTATTTTTAGAGTTCTCATGTACACTGAAGATGGCATTTCATTTCGTTGTACGAGGTGCAATGTCAATAAACTTAACTAAACGAAACCACCTCAAGAAATGCAAATTCTCATCCTTCATTCATTTACAGGCCTTTTTCACCCTCATCGTGGAGGTTTATGTACATCTCGCCCAGAGGTGGGATTCAGCCAGTTTGGACCAGTTCGGGCGAAACCTGGAGCAGAAATTTTGACCAGTTTGGAGAACGGGCAGATACCACATCTGACTGGCCCTTTCCCATCCTATATTCCATTGATTTTTAACTCGGCTGATTCACACGCAGAACCAATAGTGTGCAATTTGGAACTCCACCACCGAGCTTGCCTTGTGGGCTCAGGCTATTTGCAACTGCTGGTAGAAGCAAGCCAGGAGTCGTCAGCAGAAATTGTGTATAGACAGTCCTTGACTTATGACCACAACGGAGCCCAACGTTTCTATTGCAAAGCAAGGCAGTTGTGAAGTGAATTTTGCTCCATTTTGCACCCTTCCTTGCCACCGTTAAGTGAATCACCATAGCTGTTAAGTTAGGATCAAGATCAAGGGAGGCACTAATACCACTCTACAAAGCCTTAGTAAGATCACACCTAGAATACTGCATCCAGTTTTGGTCACCACATTATAAAAAAGATGTTGAGACTCTAGAAAAAGTACAGAGAAGAGCAACCAGGATGATTAGGGGACTGGAGGCTAAAACATACAACGGTTGCAGGAACTGGGCTTTGCTAGTCTAGTAAAGAGAAGGACCAGGGGAGACATGATAGCGGTCTTCCAATATTTGAGGGGCTGCCACAGAGAGAAAGCACCTGAAGGCCAGACATCTTGGGGGGGGGGG